CCTGCGAGATTCCTTAGGATTCCTCCGAGGTTCCTTCGGATTCCTCCGAGATTCCTTAGGATTCCAGTTGAATTCCTTTGGATTCCGGAAGAATTCCTAAGGATTCATTCCTTGGGATTCCTGAAGAATTCCTTGGGATTCCTTGAGACTTCCTTAAGATTACTGAAAATCCTTCGGTTTCCTGGAGGCTTCGTTGGGATTCCGCAGGGATTCCCAAGGATTCCCGAGGATCTCCTTAATATTCCTTTAGGATTCCCTAGGATTCCTTCGGGTTCCTGGAAGCTCCCTGGAAAAATCAATAAGTTTCCTGCAGGCTTCCTCGGGATTCCTGAAGAATTCGTTGGGATTCCAAGAGATTTCTTGGATTCCTGGAGAATCCCTCAGGACTCCTCAGGGATTACTTAGGATTCCTGATGAATTCCTCTGGATTCCTCAGGAATTCCTTAGGATTCCTGGAGAATTCCTTAGGATTCCTTGGGAATTTCTTAGGTTGCCTGGAGAATTCCTGACGATTCCTTGAGAATTCCTCACAGCGTGCCGGCCATAAGTCAAATGTGAAGGACGCGTAGTTATATCGGTTTTCGTACACCTGTATAAAGACCCAACCAAACTACCGGCCATAAACAGGCCGGCATGGACGACGGGTGGACCCTACTACTACTACTAACTACTACTACTACCACTACTACTACTACTACTACTACTACTACTACTACTACTACTACTACTACTACTACTACTACTACTACTACTACGACTGCGACTACGACTCCGACGACTACGACTACGACTACGACTACGACTACGACTACGACTACGAGTACGACTACGACTACGACTACGACGCCGACGACGACGACGACGACGACGACGACGACGACTACTACTACTACTGCGACTACTACTATGACTACTACTACTGCTACTACTAATGATATTGCGACGACGACGACGACGACGACGACGACGACGACGACGACGACGACGACGACGACGACGACTACTACTACTACTACTACTACTACTACCTCCACTACTACTGCGCTATTACTACTACTACTACTACTACTACTACTACTACTACTACTACTACTACTACTACTACTACTACTAATACTACTAGGGTCACAACTGACTTATGGCCGGTGAGGTTTGGGTTTGGGTTTGGGTTTCTTTGTTTCCTATTGGAAACCGCTTCGTCTTCTATTGAACACCTATGGTTTTGGCTTTCGATTGGGAACCAATGGTTTTTTCTTTTCTATTGGGAACCCCTGGTTTTATGAGTTTTCTATTGGGAACCAATGGTTTTATTAGTTTCCTATTGGGAACCAATTGTTTTAATTAGTTTTCGATTGGAAACCTATGGTTTTGTTGTTATTAGTTTTCTATTGGGCGGCAATGGTGTACATTAGTTTTCTATTCGAAACCAATGGTTTTAATTAGTTCTCTATTGGAAACCAATTGTTGTCCATTCGCTTTCTATTGGAAACCAATGGTTTTTGTTAGTTCTCTATTGGGAACCAATGGTTTAAATTAGCTTTCCATGGGGAGGCAATTGTTTAAATTATGTCCTATTGGAAACCAATGGTTTTAATTAGTTTTCTATTGGAAACCAATTGTTTCTATTCGTTTTCTATTGGAAACCAATGGTTTTCATGAGTTTTTGTATTGGGAACCAATGGTTTTTAATCCGTCTCCCATTGGAAACCAATGGTTTTAATTAGTTTGGTATATAGGGAACCAATGGTTTGAATTCGTTTCCACATGGCAACCAATGATTTTACTTACTTTTCTATTGGGAACAACTTGTTTTTTTTTTTTTTTATGAGTTTTCTATTGGAAACCAATGGTTTTAATTAGTTTCCAATTGGAAACAAAGTGTTCTTATTATTTTTGTTGGGAACCAATTTTACATATATATATATATATATATATATATATATATATATGCTCGCTACCCTGCAGGCTCACGGTAGTCTCTGGAAATGTCAGGAATATCAGGAATATCAGGAAAACACAGCGTTTTCTCAGGGGTAATCCCTGGGAAGGTCAGGAATATCAGGAAAACACAGCGTTTTTCACCAGGGCAATGTTTCGGCAGCCCCAGGAGGCCTCGGCGCCTGGGTAGTCTCTGGAAATGTCAGGAATATCAGGAATATCAGGAAAACACAGCGTTTTCTCAGGGGTAATCCCTGGGAAGGTCAGGAATATCAGGAAAACACAGCGTTTTTCACCAGGGCAATGTTTCGGCAGCCCCAGGAGGCCTCGGCGCCTGGGTAGTCTCTGGAAATGTCAGGAATATCAGGAATATCAGGAAAACACAGCGTTTTCTCAGGGGTAATCCCTGGGAAGGTCAGGAATATCAGGAAAACACAGCGTTTTTCACCAGGGCAGTGTTTCGGCAGCCCCAGGAGGCTTCGGGAAGCCCCAGGAAGCGTTTCGGAAGACTCGGGAAGGCCAGGAGGCCTCAGGAAGCCCCAGGAAGCCCCAGGCCCTCCCCCCCCAGGGCGCGCGAGGAAGAGGAGTAGCAAAAAAAGAAATATGTATGATCATGTGGGGGGGGCTACCATATATATATATATATACACACACTAGTTTTCAATTGGAAACCAATGGTTCTCATCAGTTTTCAAGGATACCTTCGGATTCCTTGAGACTTCCTTAGGATTCCTGGAGATTTCCTTCGGATTCCTTGAGATTTCCTTTTGATTCCTGGAGACTTCCTTCGGATTCTTGAAGAATTCCTAAGGAATCCTGACGGCTTCGTTCGGATTCCTTGAGAATTCCTATAGGATCTCAAGGATTCCTCCGGATTCGTCGGGGATTCCTTCAGATTCCTAGAGGCTTCCGAAAGATTCCTGGTGAATTCCTTAGGATTCCTGCGAGATTCCTTAGGATTCCTCCGAGGTTCCTTCGGATTCCTCCGAGATTCCTTAGGATTCCAGTTGAATTCCTTTGGATTCCGGAAGAATTCCTAAGGATTCATTCCTTGGGATTCCTGAAGAATTCCTTGGGATTCCTTGAGACTTCCTTAAGATTACTGAAAATCCTTCGGTTTCCTGGAGGCTTCGTTGGGATTCCGCAGGGATTCCCAAGGATTCCCGAGGATCTCCTTAATATTCCTTTAGGATTCCCTAGGATTCCTTCGGGTTCCTGGAAGCTCCCTGGAAAAATCAATAAGTTTCCTGCAGGCTTCCTCGGGATTCCTGAAGAATTCGTTGGGATTCCAAGAGATTTCTTGGATTCCTGGAGAATCCCTCAGGACTCCTCAGGGATTACTTAGGATTCCTGATGAATTCCTCTGGATTCCTCAGGAATTCCTTAGGATTCCTGGAGAATTCCTTAGGATTCCTTGGGAATTTCTTAGGTTGCCTGGAGAATTCCTGACGATTCCTTGAGAATTCCTCACAGCGTGCCGGCCATAAGTCAAATGTGAAGGACGCGTAGTTTATATCGGGTTTTCGTACACCTGTATAAAGACCCAACCAAACTACCGGCCATAAACAGGCCGGCCATGGACGACGGGTGACCCTACTACTACTACTACTACTACTACTACTACTACTACTACTACCACTACTACTACTACTACTACTACTACTACTACTACTACTACTACTACTACTACTACTACTACTACTACTACTACTACTACTACTACTACTACTACTACTACTAAGACTGCGACTACGACTCCGACGACTACGACTACGACTATGACTACGACTACGACTACGACTACGAGTACGACTACGACTACGACTACGACGCCGACGACGACGACGACGACGACGACGACGACTACTACTACTACTACTGCGACTACTACTATGACTACTACTACTGCTACTACTAATGATATTGCGACGACGACGACGACGACGACGACGACGACGACGACGACGACGACGACGACGACGACGACTACTACTACTACTACTACTACCTCCACTACTACTGCGCTATTACTACTACTACTACTACTACAACTACTACTACTACTACTACTACTACTACTACTACTACTACTACTACTACTACTACTACTACTACTACTACTACTACTACTACTACTACTACTACTACTACTACTACTACTACTACTACTACTACTACGACTACTACTACTACTACTACTACTACTACTACTACTACTACTACTACTACTACTACTACTACTACTACTACGACTACTACTACTACTACTACTACTACTACTACTACTACTACTACTACTACTACTACTACTACTACTACTACTAACTACTACGACTACTACGACTACTACGACTACTACGACTACTACGACTACTACGACTACTACGACTACTACTACTACTACTACTACTACTACTACTACCACTACTGAGACGACTACTACTACTACAACTACTACTACTACTACTACCACTACTACTACTACTACTACTACTACTACTACTGCTACTACTACTAGTAGTACTTTTACAACTCCTACGACCACTACTACTACTACTGCTACTACTACTGCTACTACTACTGCTACTACTACTACTACTACTACTACTACTACTACTACTACTACTACTACTACTACTGATACTGCTACCAGTACTTATACTACTAATGGTTACTACTACTACTACTACTACTACTACTACTACTACTACTACTACTACTACTACTACTACTACTACTACTACTACTACTACTACTACTACTACTACTACGCATGCGACTACTATTTCTACTACTACTACGATTACGACTACGACTACGACTACGACTACTACTTCGACTTCGACTTCGACTTCGACTTCGACTACGACTACGACTACGACTACTACGACTACTACGACTACTACGCAACTACTACTACTACTACTACTACTACTACTACTACTACTACTACTTCCTCCTCCTCATTCGCCTTCTCCTCCTCCTCCACCTCCGCCTCCTCTGGCTCCTCCGCCTCCTCCGCCTCCGCCTCCTCCTCCGCCTCCTCCTCCCGAGCCGCGGTCCTTGTCGACGCCGCGCAACTTCACCTGCCCACGGACCGCTCCCTCCCGTTCGGCTCCCAGCGGGCTCGGCACCGCAAGGGCGGGCCACCTCGCTCGGGGATGGCGCGGTTCACCCGTGTGCTGCTGGTCGGTTGGCAGCTCCATCGTGTTCGCTAGCCGATTGAGTCCGGCGCGACTCGCCAGTGTGTCTGTTGGTCATTTTCCTTCTTGAGGGACTGTAGATCGACAAAATTTTCGAACACTTGCACGTTCGAAGGGGTTTCTGATCATCCCCCCCGCCCCCGAAACCGGTGCTGATCTCAGAAAGGTGGTGCTCTTGGGGGTTCGGATATTTCCGTCCACTCACGCCCCCTCCTGCACAACGCCCTCAATATTCATTTCGGGAGGTCCGGGGGGGCATCTCGGGCTGCAGGGTTCGAATAGAATGCCCATGTGCGGGAGGAGCGGAGGACGACCACGAAGCTCCAAGTGCCCAGTGCTGCAGGCACTCCTGGACAGGCAGGCGCCAGCAAAAAGGAGCTGCCCGTGGCAACTTCTGCCCGGGCGAAAGAGCGCCGTGTGTTCGGATGCCTTCGAATGAAGCGGAAGCTGTCCAGAGGCGTGCGGAGAGTCTCGGAGGTTGGGGGGCGGAGGGGGGCGGGGGGTAGACAAGCTGGGTGCGCTCGCGCCACATCTGACATCCTGACCCTCCCTCCCATCCCTGCCCATTGCGCCGATTGGTGGCGAGCGAGGGAGGTAAGTGATAAGGAGGAGGCCTTCGAAGGCGGCGAGGCTTCTCAGAAACCATCGGGCCTTCTGAAACATTTCCTGCGTCTTCCGGGAAAGCTCAAGAAACTTCTCAAACGGGTTGAGTCCTTCAAAGCCTTCTGAGAAGGCCTGGTCCTTCTTACTTCCCCCCCAGGCTCGCCGCCGAGCCGAGTTTTCTAGATCCGCGGTCGCGTGTCATAGCCAACCTGGAACTCCACCAACAAGACATCATCGTGTTATGCGCAATCGGAAAGGGGGAGCTGCGTATATAGGAAGAGGACGTGGAGGGTGAGCAGAAGGATGCGCAATAGGAAAACATGGAGGATGTGGAAGGACGAGGACGAGGATGAACAGGAGCAGCAGCAGCAGCAGAAGCGATTGGAGTGGAAGGAGCGGGAGGAGCAGGAGGACCATGGGAAGGCAGAAGGGAAATTAGGGGGCGACAACGATGAATGGGCCCACGCTGGGGCAACAACACAATTCTGAATGACGTGAGCAAAGCGCCGACTCGAACATGAGACCAACACTGTAGCGGGAACGCCAGTGTGGAACACCGGGAACAATCGGATCGTCAAGAACCATCGGGAAATCACCTTTGCGCAAGAAACATATGCGAAGATAATCTGCGATCTTCCGCACGGAATCAGGGGAGAGAGGAGATTCGTATCCAGACTGTGTGCTTGCAGAGGAGTGGCGGAGCAGGAAGAGGAGGAGGAGGAGGAGTAGTAGTAGTAGGAGGAGGAGGATACAGAGGAGGAAGAGGGGGCGAACCAGGAGCAGGAGAAGGATAAGGATGGAGGTAGAGCAGGAAGAGGAGGAGGATGGAGGAGGAGGGAGGAGAGGAGGGGAGACGAGGGATGGGAGAGGTGGGGGAGGGGAGGGGTGCAGGATGGAACAAAGCGGGACGAGGGAGGATGAAGGGCGAAGGGAGGGGGGGGGGTAGAAGGAGAGCAGTAGACAGAAAGGCAGGAAAGAAGGCAAAGAGGAAGACGGGGAAGTAGGGGGAGGGGCACGGAATGCAGGAGAAGGACGAGGAGGAAGGAGGAAGGATGAGAAAGGGCAAGAGAGAGAGGAAGATGGATATATATATATATATATATATATGAGGAGGAGAGCGGATGGCGCAGGAGAAGGGAGGAGTCGGGAGGGAGGATGAGGGAGAAGGGAGGACAGAGGATGGAGGGGGAGGGAGGCGGAGCGAGGAGGGACGAAGGAAGAGGGGGAGGGTCAAATGCGGAAGGGCGAGACAGAGAAAGAGAGACAGAGAGATATACGCAGCACCCCGCAGATGCTGATAAGAGTGAGGGGGCGGTGGAGACGTCGGCAATCTGCAGACTCTGGAGAAGCCCGCCGCAAGCGCCAAAGTTTCACAAATTATACAACGAGCCCGCCGCAGGCGCCGATTTTTTCGTTAAACCAATGTGGGTAGGTCGCGGGTGGGTCGCAATTGCGTCGCGGCTGGGTCGCGGGTGGGTCGGGGGTGGGTCGCGGGGTGGGTCGCTTTTGGGTCGCAAGTGGGTCGCGGGTGGGTCGCGGGGTGGGGTTGCGGGGTGGGTCGCGGGCGGGTCGCGGGGGTGGGTCGCGGGGGGTCGCGGGTGGGTCGCGGGGTGGGTCGCGGGTTGGGTCGCGGGTGGGTCGCGGGGTGGGTCGCGGGTTGGGTCGCGGGTGGGTCGCGGGGTGGGTCGCGGGGTGGGTCGCGGGGTGGGTCGCGGGGTGGGTCGCGGGGTGGGTCGCGGGGGGGCCGCGGGTGGGACAACGACAACAAACAAACAACAACAAAGCAACAACCCAACAAGACGCAGAATCCTTTCCACGGATCCCCACTTCAGCCATGCACCCAAGGACAATGAATGACCGTTCGGCCCCTCACTCTGATGATGACCTATACGTATCTAGATACATGCTTGTAAACTATGTATGTATGTGTAGCGGTACATGTATGTGTACATATATTTTGATATACAACTACAGAGAGTGAGGGTGTGAGAGAAGGGAAATGAGCGACTATATAGATAGAGACAAGGAGAGAGACGAGAGAGAGGGAGCGATTGAGAAACGAGATATGAACTATATGTGCGCACACAGATAATGTACACACCTGTATATATATATATATACACACTAGAACCATGGCGCGCGCTTCGCGCGCGCTCGGGTTTTAGCCCAGGTCGGTGGGGCGCTGGAGGATCTTGGACAGCACTGTCAAGCACTGAGGGCCTCTTGGGAACCTCTTGGGTCTTCGTGGAGCATCTGAAGAGCTTCTGGGGGGTTCTCCGTGCTTCCTCAATTAGCTGTTAGAGGCACCCCTTGGGTGCTTCTTGGGAGGGCGTCTGAGGGCTTCTAGGGGTCCCTTGGGGGCATCGTCGGGCAATCGGAAAGTGATGTTCTGCAATCCGAAGCCGTCATTGGCCGTCTTGGCTGCGTGGAGGCCCGACTTCCTGGGGCCACATTGAGGCAATCCGGAAGCCTCCCGAGGGCCTACTGGAGGCAGTTTTGATGCATCGAGGGCTCTGCTCGGCTATCTTGGGGCCGCTTGTACGTCTCCAGGGGGCCTTTGGGGGCCTCTTGGGAAGCTTTTGGGGGTCTCGTCGGACCACTTGGGAACTCTTGGGGCCTCCTGTGGGCCTCTTGTGGCGGAAGGCTCTGCTGTTGGGTTCGCGTTCCCCTTCTTGGGTCTCTCTTGGGGCCGTCTTGGGGCCGTCACGGGCCGTCTTCGGCGCCTCAGGTATCCTCTTGCGGCCCTCGTGGGCTGTCTTGGGGCCCTCTTGGAGGCCTCTTGGGCTATCTTAGAGCGGTCTTGGGGGCCTCTTGAGCCGTCTTGGAGCGTCGGGATGCCAAAAGGCTGAACACTCTAAAATCCATCAAAAACCTATGGAAAACAATGAGTTGTGCCTCTTCGGGCCTTCTTGGGAGGCCTCTTGGAACCTCTTCTGCCCTCTGGGGAGCTTGAGGGCCTCTTAGATCCTATTGGGGACCTCTTGGGGTGGAAGACTCGAGTGTTCGGTTCGTCTTACCCCTCTTGGGCCCCTCTTGGGGACGTGTTGGAGGCCTCTTGGGCTATCTTGGAGCGGTCTTGGGGGTCTCTTGGGCCGTCTTGGAGAGTCGGGACGCTCAAAGACTGAAACATCGAAAATGAATAAAAAACCGATGACAAGACAATGATTGTTGCCTCTTGGGGCCTTCGTGGGAGGCCTCTTGGAACCTCTTCGGCCTCCAGGGACGCTTCTTGGGGCCTCTTGGGCTTCTCGGGGCCTCCTGAGAGCCTCTCGGGGTGGGAGGCTCGGATTTTCGGTTCGCGTTGCCCCCTGGCTCCCTCTTTGGGCCGTCTTGGGGCCCTCTCGGGCAGTCTTGGGCGCCTCTGGCGCCGTCTTGGGGCCCTCTTGGGCTGTCTCGTGGCCGTCTTCGAGGCCTCAGGGGCTGTCTTGGAGCTGACATTGAGGTCTCTGGGCCGTCGTGGAGCGACGGGAAACTGAAACGGTAGAGCTCGCAAGTCCTTCGAAAACCTCGGGGTAATAATCTATGTGTGCCTCTGGGGCTCCTTGGGGGCATCTTGGAAGTCTCTTGGAGCGTCTCAGAGGCCTCTTGGACAGTCAGAGGCTAATTCTGGGGTGATCTCGGGCCGTCATTGATCGTTTTCGCGGTCTGGAAGCGCATGGTTTGCGATCCGGGGCCGTCTTCGGGCGATTTTAAAGAGCCCCCGGCGCCATGGTAGGGCTCCCAAGGCCCCCGGTTCGAGGGACCCATCCTGGGCCCCGCGTCGTGCCCGCGGCAAGGCTTTCATGTGCCGTCTCGGCGCCCTCGTGGAGGCCAGTTGGGGCGATATGTGGGTGCCCAAGACCGTCTTGGAGCGTCGGGAAGTTGAACAGGCATGATCGCTAAAATGTAAAGGGGGCGCGCTGGCTGGTGGGTGGGGGCTGCGGAAGAGGCGTGCGGGATGGGCGGGGAGGCCTCGCCAAAATAAGGAAATTGGCGCGGGGGAGGCGCGCTGGCTGGTGGCCAGGGCGATGCGGAGTGGACGCGCGGGATGGCAAGGGAGCAGTGCCGTGTCGAAGTAGAGGGGTCGGGGCGGAGGGGACGCGCTGGCTGGTGGATGGGATGATGGAGGTGGCGCTCGGGACGGAGGGGGCGGCGCCGTGCCGAAAGATTTGCGTCGGGGCGGGTGGGTGGGGCGAGGCAAGGCGTGCGGGGCGGGGGGGTGGCGGTGCCGCGCCGAAATACAAAAGGGTCGGGGCGGAGGGGGCGCGCTGGCTGGCGGGCGAGGTGATGCAGAAATGGCGCGCGGGATGGGGGGGGCGGTACAGTGCCGAAATGAAGGGGTCGGGGCGGAGGGGGCGCGCTGGCTGGTGGGTGGGGGGATGCGGAGGGGACGCGCGGAGTGGGAGGGGGGCGGTGCCGTGCCGAAATGAAGGGGTCGGGGCGGAGGGGGCGCGCTGGCTGGTGAGTGGGGTGATGCGGAGGGGGCGCTCGGGATGGGGGGCGGTGCCGTGCCGAAACAAAGGCGTCGGGGCGGAGGGGGCGCGCTGGCTGGTGGGTGGGGTAATGCGGAGGGGGCGCGCGGGATGTGGGGGGCGGTGCCGTGCCGAAATATAAAGATCAGGGCGGAGGGGGGCGGGGTGATGTAGAGGTGGCGGGCGGGACGGGGGGGGGCGGTGCCGTGCCGAAATAAAGTGGTCGGAGCTCTAGACACCCTCTTCAAGAGAATACATGATTCCTCCCTGTCGCACCCCCCGTCGTGTCGGTAGGGCGGGCCAGGCGTGTCGCTGGAGGTTTCCTCAGTATGTATGATCCTGAAGCTTCCAATTCACGACAGCTTCACGGATGGAGGGCGAGGCGTCTCAAAATATTGCAGCCGCTCCGGGGATGGAGGGCGACTCCTTGTCAAGACGTGGCTCTCGCCTTAGCGTCGCGCGCACTCGTCTGAAACGTTCGCAACCGCTCCACGGATGGAGGGCGGGTGGTTTTCACCACGTGGTCCTCGCCTTAGCGCATCGCGCAGTCGACTTGCAGGTTTGCAGCCGTTTCAGGTACGAAGAACGGTTCCCGTTCAAACTGTGGCTCTCGCGTCAGCACCGCGCACATTCGTCTTGAAGTATTGCAGCCGTTTCAAAGACGGAGGGCAGCTCCTGTTCAAAGTGTGGCTCTCGCCATAGCGCCGCGTACATTTATCGTAAACGTGGTCAGCAATTCAGAGGGTTCGTATGGATGACATCCTAGGAATCTAGGAATGTGTTCTGGCACGCTTTAGGACTGTCAGGACCCAACAACAGCGCTAGGTTAAAATGTTGAGGTCCCAGAAATGATGTCCTGGCACTTTAGGACCGTAGAGACGCAATAGTCATGTAATTCCCAGCGATCGAAGTCCAGGGAACTGTGTCTTGGTATGATTGATTCGTCTCATACGGTTGTCTTCCAAGGGGGCACGTCCTGCAATAAAAACAACTTCTTGTGGGGACCTGTGAAGAGGGAACTTGGGAGGGTTTATTGCAACATCGTCGATGCGTCTTGGGTTTGCACTGGCCCTCCTCCTCCTCCTCCTCCTCCTCCTCCTCCTCCTCCTCCTCCTCCCGTCCCCGCCCTGGTCCCTCCCCACCCCCCCGGGGCCGCCTCCACGTAGCCCTTGCCCTCAACGACCTGGATGTCGAAGCCGAAGGCGAGCTCCTGCAGGCTGCCTGCCAGCTCCCGGGCCTGCCAGGCCCCGAACACCTGGTCCGCCTCGCGGTACTGCCACACCTGGCGGCGGCGCCCCGGGCCTCAAGGTGACCCAAGAGCAGAGGAACAAAAAGCGGCACAAACAGAAACTTTCGGAGCTTCGCACAGACTTTCTGGATCGGCGCTGGGGCCCCACTGGCGGCGCCTCCGGCGCCGCCCCCGGTGCGCTCCGGGGGGCTCCGTCGCCGATAAAAGAAGACCGCGCGGAGCTCGGAAAGGTTTATGCCGTGTTTTGTTTTTTTCGGAGAAGGGCCCAGAGACGCATCCAGCTCCAAGCTTGCCCTAGATGATGAAAACTGCCAAGATCGGATCGGATGTCGTTTGTGGGACGCATGGTGTGCAGTGGCGACGGCGCGCCCGGAGACAAGGGCTAGCCGCAGGCGCCGGCGCCCCAGACAACGGTGGGCAACTTCCGCGCATGACGTAGCATAACTGCTCTTACTTTTGCACAAGCGCCTACTCGTCCGCCAGGGATGCAAGGCCACAGGCAGTCGCTGTGGACGTATGATGCTATCCGCGCGTGTGTACGTATGTGCGCGTGCGTGTTCCCAGCACTACCAAGAGGTTTTCGAAGCTCTGGCCGCCTTATGATGCTGCTCCTCCTCCAGCTCCTCTTCCTCCTCCTGCTCCTGCTCCTGCTCCTGCTCCTGCTCCTGCTCCTGCTCCTCCTCCTCCTCCTCCTCCTCCTCCTCCTCCTCCTCCTGCTCCTCTTGCTTTTTCTCGTGATCCTGCTCCAGCTCCCCCTCCTCGTCCTCGTCCTCCTCCTCCTCCTCCTCCTCCTCCTCCTCCTTCCTCCTTACTCCTTCCTCCCTCCTCCCTCCTTCCGCCTTCTTTCTCCTCCTGCTCCTCCTCCTCCTCCTCCTCTTCCTCCTGCTCATCCTCCTCCTCCTCCTCCTCCTCCTCCTGCCTCCTCCTTCTCGTCCTCCCCTTCCCCGTCTCGGCGGCGTTGGGGCACCTGTGCCCTTCAGCTCAGAGACGGGCCTCGTTTCCTAGACAGATGAACGTGTTAAGTCAGCCAGCGCCAAGGTGCGCAAGCGGTCAGGCGCGGGTCGGGCTTAAAGGCGGGGCGCGCCGAAAGCTCAGTAGGGCACGAAGGGAAGAGAGGAGCGGAGCAGGGGGAAGGACATCCCCAAGGTCCGCGCGGATGGCTTGGACATGCGCCGGACCCCCCTCCCTGGCGCGCGGACCCTGGCGCGCGGAGCGCGCCAGGGGCGGCGCAGGAGGCGGCGCCGGGGGGCCCAGCGCAGCTCCAAGAAATCCGCGTGGAGCGTCGATAGTTTGTGTCTGTGCCGCTTGTTCTTCCTCGATCTCCAGCATTGGGTCGGGCATGTCCCCCTACAGGCGGATGTCGGACGAAAAATCAAAAAAATACTCAACAGATGCTCAGACATAGCCGAAGAATGCTAGAGAAAGTCGTCCCCAGACTATCTTTGAACATCCCTCCTGTAGGGGGCGAGGCCCCTGCTGCATCCTGGGGGCCCCAGAGGCGGGGGGACGTGCCCGGGCAAGCCGAGGCGCCGGCGCGCCCGAGGGGAGCTGCGGCCGCGGATGGGAGCGCACGCCTCGCACTCGCCAGCCGCGCCGGCCGAGGGGGGCGGGCGGGCAGGCGGCATCGTGCGCAGCTCTGGAGGCCTGCTGCTGGCCACGGCGTGGTTCCCCAGGCCTCGGGAAGGAAGAGCGAGCACTCGTGCCACATTCATCTGTCAACGACTGCCCCTCCCCCCAGATGTTCAAAATTGGCGGTGGGTCTGATGAGTTGCGCCTCGACCGTAGTCTCCCCCGTGCGTGCCAACTTTGAGTTTGGGGGGCAGGGGGGTGTTCACTGATTGTGTCCCTCCACCGTCTCGCGGGCTGGATGGATACACGGCAGACAGAGCCGCTTCCTGAGGCGGTTCGGAGAACAAATTCGGCTCACACCGAAAGACGGGGAACAAAAATCGCGACGAACAGAAACTTGTGGCGCTCCGCGCAGATTTCGTAGATCTGCACCGGGGCCCCCCTCCCTGCCGCGCGGAGCGCGCCAGGGGCAGCGCCGGAGGCGCCGCTGGGGGGGCCCAGCGCGGATCCAAGAAATCCGCGCGGAGCGCCAGCAGTTTATGTTCATGGCGTTCTTGCTATGATTATTATTATGTTTCTGCTTCTTCTTCTTCGACGACGACACACGCACTGGCCTGGCTGATGAATAAACACCTGTTTCCCGAGCGCTGGGCCGGAGTCGCGCGCCGTGCTGCGGACTCTTCATGCACGTCATCAGGTGCGGGGGTGCGGCCCCAGCGCCCCGCCCTCGTGGGCCAGGCCTCCCTGGGGTGCGTCGGCTGCGCGCCCGGCCAGCCGTCCGTCCCGCTCTCCCGCTGGATCCCGCAACACACTGGCCCGCAGCGCCCCGGTCTCCCGGGCCCCGGCAGCGAGGCCCAGCAGGAGCTGCACAGGCACGAGCTTCCGCGAGGTCCGCGCAAGTTTATTGGAGTTTGCACCCGGGGCCCCTTCCCTGGCGCGCGGGGCGCGCCTAGGCGGCGGCGCGGGAGGCGCCGCCAGGGGAGCCCAGCGCCGATCCAAGAAATCCGCGCGGAGCGTCGGAGGCTCATGTTTTATGCCGTCTTTTCTTCCTCGAGGTTGGGCCGAGCAGGCTACGCGCAGCAGGTTTCGTACCCCCTTTCCCCACTCCCCCCTCCGGGCGTCGGATCCGAATCCTGCGTGGGGGGGTTCTGGGAAGTGGTCAGGGTTCACCTTCGGATGGGCCTCGCTCCCCCTGTGGGCTTGGTCTGCGCCAGAGGCAAGAGGGCGTCGTCGTCGCCCTGAGCTTGCAGCTTGTAAAGCCCTCCTTGCCGCCTCACTTCTCCCTGGCGTCTCCTCCCTTCGCTCCCGTTGCTGGCGATGCCTGCCCAGGATCTTCGGCCAGATGGCACCTCAGAACCCACACAGGATCCACCCTCCTCCTCTTCCTCCTCCTCCTCCTCCTCCTCCCCTCCTCCTCCTCCTACTCCTCCTCCTCTGCCTTCTTCTTCTCCCCGACCCTTCCCAACCAGCGCGCTGCCCTTGTTCTCAATGAAGCTGCCCTGAGTCCGCTTCACAAACTGCGCCATGATGGCGAAACATTGGTCCTCTGGAGCTATACGACCAAAAACACAGCTGTGTGGAGTGAGGGGCTGAGGGGGACAGAGGTGCAGCGAGGGGTGGGAGGGGGGAGATGCAGACAGTGGGGCAGACGGAGGAAGGGACGAGCGCGGGGAGGAGAGGGAGGGCGAGTGGGGAGCGGGGACGTGCGCTCTCAAGGGCTCCGCGATCCTTCCAGGACATGTCCGAGGTGAGGTCCATGCAGTGCCACTGGGGAACCCACAAATTCGGAACCTGGGCGCACGGGTGAATAGGAACGAGAGCAAAACGGAATGGGGGAAGAGGGACGGAGCAGGAGGAGCAGGAGGAGCAGGAGGCGTAGGAACAGGCGGTACGGATTGGATGCCAATGTCGGCGCAACGTGGAAGGGAGGATTAGCAGCCGATAAGAAACCACTGCGCAAACATGCCCCTGCGACGCACACAACCCATTTGCAGCACGTGATAAGAAGCAATGGCCCAAGTTAGTCTAGATCATGACAACGAAGGAACCGTCATTTGTTGAACTGGCTAACTGAGATGCGCACGCGTTGCACGACTGACAGGGCATCCATCGAAGCACTGCGAATGAGGCCCCAGATTGGAAGTTGAAGGAGGCAGGAACGAAGGGCAAAACAAGGACGGAAGGGGATCCGACTAAAGGCGAAAGTGCTGAGGGTTTCGCAATTCGCACCCCCCCGGGGATGGCGAGGCCTACTCTGGATCTGCACTCCGTACCCACTAAGCTGGCCCCCGAAGCAGCCCTCGAAAGTGGCGGCAGTTTCGCGGATCGCAGCCTCCCAGGGATGGCGAGGTCTAGTCTGAATCTGCCCATCGGTACCCACTACGCGTACCCCTCAGCAGCGTTCGAAAACGGCGACCGTTTCGCAGTTTGTACCCCCCGAGGGATGGCGAGGTACAGTCTGCGTCTGCGCTCGGTACCCACTACGCTGCCCCCCCCCAGCAGCCCTCGAAAGAGGCGACAGCTTCGCAGTTCGCAGCCCGCCCAGCTCTAGTCTGGATCTGCGCTCGGTACCGCCTACGCTGCCCACCCCCAGCAGCCCTCGGATGTGGAGATAACTTCCCAGTTCGCAACCACCCAGGTACGACGAGGTCTAATCTGAATCTGCGCTCGGTGCCCACTACGCTGGCCCTCCCAGAATCCTTTCGGATGTGGCGACAGTTTCGCACTTCGCAGCCCCCTTCGGATGGCGAGGTCTAGTCTGAATCTGCGTCTGGCACCCTCCAAGTTGGCCCCCCCAGCAGCCTCGAAAGTGGCAACAGTGGCGCGGTTCGCAGCCTCAAGGGATGGCGAGGTCTAGTGCGCTCAATACCCACTTCGCTGGCCCTCTCCACCAGCCATCGAAAGTGGCGGCAGTTTCGTTGTTTGCAGCCACCCCAGGGACGGCGAGGTCTAATCTGAATCTGCGCTCAATACGTACCTTCTTCGCTGGCCCTTACCACCAGCCGTCGAAAGTGGCGACAGTTTCCTTGTTCGCAGCCACTCCAGGTATGGCGAGGTCTAATCTGAATATGCGCTCGGTACCCACTACGCCGGCCCTCTCCAGCAGCTTCGAAAGTGGCGACGGTTTCGCAGTTCGCAGCCCCCCACAGGGATGGCAGGTCTAGTCTGAATCTGCGCTCGGAACCCACTACGCTGACCCACCCGAAGCCTTCGAAAGTGGCGACTGTTTCGCAGTTCGCACTCCCCCTGGGATGGCAGGGTCGAGTTCCTCAAACAGTGCTTGCGCTGAGGATTGTCAGAATGTGTGTTCTTCGGACCTGACCTCCCTTGGTAACACTGGTAACACTGGAGAGCGCGGCTGTGCGAGCATAGCAAACGCGCGTCTGACACAAATGTGACCCAGCCCCGAAGATTAGGCCCCAAATTGAACCCCACATCAGAACAATTCACGGGGGCTGGGTCCACATCAGCCTCGTCCTCCTCAGGACGTCCCGGTTGCAGCCGCACGTGTGGCATGCGTCTGGCGCACCGACTCCGTGACATTTGCCAGGTCCCTCGCCCTGGCGCGACGAAAATGCCCCGACCGGGTATCAAGAGCATCGACGTGCAGAAAATACCACGGCAAATTAACAAGAAAGTCGTCTCACAGATTTGCTGGGTCCGCCGCTGCCCGCTTCCAAATCGTTGAGCGCGCGCTCTCGAGCAGCGTCCCACACGCGCCAGCGCGCTTGGCCAACCCGACCATCAGCGGCGAGCCCGGGGGGAAGTGAGAAGGGGCGGCCATTCTCAGATTCGGATGCCCTGAATGAATACGGGAGAATTTTACAATGCCCAACAACAATTGTTGTCCAAAACCGACAGCGGCCGCTGTTGGGCATGCGGCTTTCTGTCTCAAATGGGCAACGTCCGCGGCGGCGCGGACAGCGAGTCCTTTTCAAAATGACCAGGAACTGTTGTTGGGCATCGTACCCATCCTTTCCGTACCAAGTTCGTTCGTGCCGATCAGAATGCTCGGAAGTCCCACGTACTTGTGAGAAGTTTTCTCAGCCTTCCCTGAAGACACAGACAACTTCTCAGAAGACGCCAGAGCTTCTGAGAAATCCCGCCGCCTTCTGAGAAAGCCTTCTCCTTCTCACTTCCCCTGGGCGCGCCGTCGAATTTGTTTTTTCCCTACCTAGGCTCTGCCTAGAAGGGGGCGGGCAGTGTAAACCGCCCCGGGCGGTTCCCCCAGTCCCCGCCCCGCGGTTCCCCCAGTCGCGCCCCCTGGGTTCACCCAGCTTAGCTTAGCTTCAGCTTAGCTTTAGCTTAGCTTGAGCTTAGCTTTAGCTTAGTTTTAGCTTAGCTTTAGCTTAGCTTTAGCTTACCTTTAGCTTAGATTCAGCTTAGCTTTAACTTAGCTTTAGCTTAGCTTCAGCTTAGCTCTAGCTTAGCTTTGCTTAGCTCTAGCTTAGCTTCAGCTTAGCTTCAGCTTAACTCTAGCTTAGCTTTAGCTTAGCTCTGGCTTAGCTTCAGCTTAGATTTAGCTTAACTTTAGCTTAGCTCTAGCTTAGCTTTAGCTTAGCTTCAGCTTAGCTCTAGCTTAGCTTTAGCTTAGCTTTAGCTTAGCTTCAGCTTAGCTTCAGCTTAGCTTTAGCTTAGCTCTAGCTTAGCGTCAGCTTAGCTTCAGCTTAGCTTTAGCTTAGCTCTAGCTTAGCTTCAGCTTAGCTTTAGCTCGGTTTCAGCTGAGCTTCAGCTTAGCTTTAGCTTAGCTTCAGCTTAGCTCTAGCTTAGCTTTAGCTTAGCTTTAGCTTAGCTTTAGCTTACCTTTAGTTTAGCTTCAGCTCAGCTCTAGCTTAGCTTTGCTTAGCTCTAGCTTAGCTTTAGCTTAGCTTCAGCTTAACTCTAGCTTAGCTTTAGCTTAGCTCTGGCTTAGCTTCAGCTTAGATTTAGCTTAACTTTAGCTTAGCTCTAGCTTAGCGTTAGCTTAGCTTCAGCTTAGCTCTAGCTTAGCTTTAGCTTAGCTCTAGCTTAGCTTTAGCTTAGCTTTAGCTTAGCTTTAGCTTAGCTTCAGCTTAGCTTCAGCTTAGCTTTAGCTTAGCTCTAGCTTAGCGTCAGCTTAGCTTCAGCTTAGCTTTAGCTTAGCTCTAGCTTAGCTTCAGCTTAGCTTTAGCTTGGTTTCAGCTGAGCTTCAGCTTAGCTTTAGCTTAGCTTCAGCTTAGCTCTAGCTTAGCTTTAGCTTAGCTCTGGCTTAGCGTTAGCTTAGCTTTAGCTTAGCTTTAGCTTAGCCTTAGCTTAGCTTTAGCTTAGCTTTAGCTTAGCTTTAGCTTAGCTTTAGCTTAGCTTTAGCTTAGCGTTAGCTTAGCTTTAGCTTAGCTTTTTCTTAGCTTTAGCTTAGCTTTACTGTTACTACTAATGCTGCTTTCCTAGGGGCTCCAACTCTTAGGTAGGGTCGCACTGGGATAATTTGGTCATAGCTCGGGTCTCCGGCAGCCGTTCGGGACGATTCGAGCACCCCGGGAACGCCCGCGGCGAGGCGCAGCTGCTGGCGAGCATCCCGAGGCCAGAAAATCGCCAAGAACCGACGAAAACGTCCGAGAACCTCGAAGCTCGAACCCGAAAACCTCGAACTTAGAACCTCGCCGCCGACCTTCTCACTTCCCCCCCTCGCTCGCCGGCACGCCGTCAAACTGCTCGCGCTGCTCGGGGGCCGAGCCCCAGTGCTTCGCGGTCGGCGCGCCTGGCCGACCTGAGCAGGGGTTTAAGCGGCTCACGCCGGCCGTCGGTCGGAGCAAGGCGGGCTGAGACCACCACCACAAAGCCGAGCATCCAGAAGGACGCGCAGGCAAGAGGAGCGCGCAGCTAGCAACTCTTCAGGACATGCACGGAAAACGCAACAACCTGATTGCGCGTGCACAGGAAATTCGACAGGGGAGAGCAAGTGGAAAGAAAAGAAAGAAGGATGAGGAACAGGGGGAATGGCGGAATGGCGTAGAGTTAGGTCGGGCATGTCCCCCTACAGGCGGATTGTGGACGAAAAATCGAAAATATTCAAGAAGTGCTCGAAAAGGCAAACAAAATACGCGACAACTCGTCCCCAAACTATTTCCCTACCTAGGCTCTGCCTAGAAGGGTTCTTACTCTCTAGCTTAAAGGGGCCGGGCAGTGTAACACGCCCTGGGCGGTTCCCCCAGTCCCTGCCCCGCGGTTCCCCCAGTCGCGCCCCCTTAGCTTGGCTTAGCTTTAGCTTTAGTTTTAGCTTTAGCTTTAGCTTTAGCTTAGCTTTAGCTTTAGCTTTAGCCTAGCTTTAGATTAGCTTTAGCTTAGCTTTAGATTTAGCTTAGCTTTAGCTTTAGCTTTAGCTTTAGCATTAGCTTTAGCTTTAGCTTTAGCTTTAGCTTAGCTTTAGCTTAGCTTTACCTTAGCATTAACTTAGCTTGAGCTTAGCTTCAGATTAGCTTTAGCTTGGCTTCAGCTTAGCTTTAGCTTAGCTTCAGCTTAGCTTTAGCCTAGCTTTAGCTTAGCTTTAGCTTAGCTTTAGCTTAGCTTTACTGTTACTACTAATGCTGCTTTCCTAGGGGCTCCAACTCCTAGGTAGGGTCGCACTGGGATAATTTGGTCATAGCTCGGGTCTCCGGCAGCCGTTCGGGACGATTCGAGCACCCCGGGAACGCCCGCGGCGAGGCGCAGCTGCTGGCGAGCATCCCGAGGCCAGAAAATCGCCAAGAACCGACGAAAACGTCCAAGCACCAAAGCTTAGCTTCAGCTTAGCTTTGGCTTAGCTTTAGCTTAACTTTAGCTTAGCGTTAGCTCAGCTTTAGCTTAGCTTAGCATTAGCTTAGCTTTAGCTTAGCTTCAGCATAGCTTCAGCTTAGCTCAGCTTTAGCCTAGCTTCAGCTTAGCTTTAGCTTGGCTTCAGTTTAGTTTTAGCTTAGCTGCAGCTTAGCTTTAGCCTAGCTTTAGCTTAGCGTTAGCTTCGCTTTAGCTTAGCTTCAGCTTAGCTTTAGCTTAGCTGTAGCTTAGCTTTAGGCTAGCTTTAGCTTAGCTTTGGTTTGCTTTAGCTTAGCTTTAGCTTAGCTTTAGCTTAACTTTAGCTCAGCTTTAGCTTAGCTTCACTGTTACTACTAATGCTGCTTTCCTAGGGGCTCCAACTCCTAGGTAGGGTCGCACTGGGATAATTTTTTACTATGTTTGAATGTTCCTCCTGTGGAGGGACAGGCCCGACTTCTTGAGCATAGAGGCCGAGACCATGGCGGCTCAGAACCGGCCCCTGGAGCCCTCTGGGGGTCTGAATGCACCAGCTTTCCGAGCTGCGCCCCTCCATGAAGAGGCCCACAAACACACAAATAAGCACACACAAATCCCAGGATTCCCTATATTTTCCCACATTTTCAGGGTTTCTGTTTTCCTCCCCACTTCCCATATTTTCCCATACTTTCCTTGGAATCGACGGTTGATTGTGTCTGTGTGTTTTTTCCCCCCTTGACTCCATCGTCTCAACCCTCCCTCATCTGGCCGTCGGACCCACCACCGGAGGGGAAGGAGACGGGGACCATGACCAAGACTGAACGTGGAAACGTCGTGTCCATCTCGGTCACCGTCGATTCGTGGAATGTCCCCGCGTTTCGGCGACGGCCGACATGGACCGTGACTAAGATCGGCATCGGCAAAATCCCGCGTCGTCTTGGTCATGGTCCCCGTGTTTCTAGAGACCTCCTAGATGGGGTCCGAGTAGATCGGGTCGAAGGATCGCGTCACATCGCCAATGCATCGCCGATGTATCGCCGATGCATCGGCGACGTCGGCATGCATCGAAGACGTCGGCGTGGGGAAACATGGGCTCCGCATCGACCCGCATCGCCGATGCATCGGGGATGCGGCGCGATCCTCCGACCCCGTCTAGGAGGCCTGGAGCTCCCTCGAGCAAACTCGATCCTCGGACCTTCTCGCAAATCCTCGAGACCTCCTCCCCTCGGGCCTGCCCCCCTCACAAAGGGCACAGACAGCTCGCGCTCCCGCCGCTCCCGCCGCACCTGACACGGGGGGGGGGAAGTCTCCATAAGGGACAGGCGTTCGAAGGAATTGCTCTGGTCGGCGAACAAGACGGCAGCGGTTGGAGCGTCCGTGATGTGGGCGGTGGCGTCCTGCACGAAGTCGCCGACCGGGGCGCGGGTGCTGACCGAGGACCCTTTGCCAGCTGGACCCGCCCCCCCCAACGATGCCGACGACGACGCCGACGGCAACAACGCCGACGACCACGTCGGTGCGCCTCCTGGCAGGCCACCGAATGGGGGCGGCGGGAAGCGCACCCGACACCCCGCCCAACGCCACCGCCGGAGCGCGCAGCGGTCCGCGCAGGCCCCACCTGGCCGCCCCGCCGCTCCCCGCCCTCTCCCTAATTGCCGCGCCGGGGGGACCATGAGTGGGAGGAGGAAGATCGATGACTCCTAGGGAGGAGGGGGAAAAGGAGGAGGAGGAGGAGGAGGAGGAAAAGGAGGAGGAGGAGGAGGAGGATCGAAGAAGAGGACGGAGGACGGAGGATGACCGAGGGGGAGAAGGAAGATGAGAACCGAGGGGGAAGACCAGGAAGAGCATCGAGGAATGGTAGAGGATCAGGGGGGGGCAGGGAGGAGAATCGAGGAGGAGGAGGAGGAGGAGGAGGAGGAGGAAGAGGAGGAGGAGGAGGAGGAGGAGGAGGTCGAGGACGAGGACGAGGATGGTGGAGGAGGAGAAGAAGGCGGAGAAAGAGGAGGTGGAGGACATCGACAGTTGCGCCAGCTGCGACAGCGACAGGAGGAGAAGGAGAATGATGATGATGATGATGATGATGATGAGGAGGAGGAGGAGGGAGGAGGAGGAGGAGAGGAGGAGGAGGAGAGGAGGAGGAGGAGGACATCGACATTTGTGCCAGCAGCGACAGCGAGCGACAGGAGGAGGAGGAGGAGGAGGAGGAGGAGGAGGAGGAGGAGGAGATGACGAGGAGGAGGAGATGACGAGGAGGAGGGGAGGCCGAGGAGGAGATCGACGAGTACCGAGGAGAGGGGGAGCCTTGTAGTAGTAGCCGCGCTCCGCCGCGAGCCCGAGGCCCTTCACCGAGCCGAACCAGTCCTGGAGGCGGCGGGGGCCTCCTCGCCCCTCCTCCAGAGATCCCTCCTCCCCCTTCCTGCCCCTGCCCCCGCCCCTGCATCTGCCCCTACCCCCCTCCTCCTCCTCCTCCTCCTCCTCCTCCTCCTCCTCCTCCGTTCCAGTTGACGATGCACGGACTGGGCCACGCTTAGGCTGACCTCCTTCCGAATTGGCGTGTGATCAGGCTGTGCAGCGTTTTCGGTGCATTGCATACTGGGTCCCCACCAACTCCAAGTTCAAGCTGCATAAGATTGGTGTCTGGCTCCCCACGGCTTCAGCCATGTAGTTCTGCGTGCTGCTAGGTCTGTGTGGTGCAAGCTATGTGGGTATGACTCGTCCACAAATGTCGGCCACCTGCACAAGCTTCGTCGCCAGTGTCCAGAATCCACGACTGCCAAGGTCATACTTGGCAGGCTGATGCAAGGATTTGAACCCAAGGCAAAATGGTCCACAGGTCCTGTGCTACCACTGCGAACGTGCCCGTCAGACGAATTGGGGGACCCAGCTGCTGTTGACCCTGGTCCTGCGCGAGTCTCCCCCGTCTCGTCTCCAGACTCTTTGACTAGAGGTCTCCTAGATGGGGTCCGAATAGATGGGGTCGGAGGATCGCGCCGCATCACCGATACATCGGCGATGCACTGGCGACGCATCGTCGATGTCGGCGATGCATCGGCACCGTCGACGTGATGCAAATCGGGCTCCACATCGAGCCGCATCGGCGATGCTTCGGCGATTCGGCGCGATCCTCCGAACCCATCTGCTCCGACCCCATCTGTGATGCCTAGACTGACTCTTGCCCCATCTAGGAGGCCTAGATTGAAACTTGCCTTCCTCCTCCTCTTCTTCCTCCTCCTCCTCCTCCTCCTCCTCCTCCTCCTGCCAGGAGTCTCCGCCTGCACCTACAATTGTGCGACGGTAATCGTACACATCTGCAGCTTCTGGCCCCCCCTTGCCGCGGGGCCTCCCCTTGCCGGGGGGGGCGCGGCTCGAGCGGAGCGCGGCCGCCCCATGCCCGTGCCTCTCTTCTGTTCGGACCTGCCTCTTCGGCTGCAGGCCACTGTCCAAGTCCTAGTCCCCCTCCTCCTTCTCCTCCTCCTCCACCTCATCCTCCTTCCCTTCCTCCTCCTCCTCCTCCTCCTCCTCCTCCTCCTCCTCCTCCTCCTCCTCGTCCTCGTCCTCGTCGTCCTCCTCCTCCTCCTCCTCCTCCTCCTCCTCCTCCTCCTCTCCTCCTCATCTCCTCCCCCTCCCCTCCTCGTCCTCCCCTCCTTCTCCTCCTCTTCCTCCTCCAAAATTACGCAACCTGAACACTAGTCTCCTATCTACCCTGATGACGTCTGGAATCTGTCCGGCCCCCCTCCGCGTAGTGTTTTTTACACACGGGGTTCCCTGGAAGTGGGTTTTCGCCGGGGTTTGTGTCATAATGTTGTTCCCGCTGACGCGCTGGCCTCATGTTCGGGCTTCCGTTCGTTCCGAATCGTGCTCCCGCTGCAACGCTGGCCTCATCTCTGCTCCGCCGCTCGTTCCGAACCGTGCTCCCGCTGCGGCGCTGGCCTTTCCTTCCAAATGGGCCCCAAATCTAGAGAATGGCCCCCGAACAAAAACCATCGGAAGTTATTACACATTCGGTGCCGATTCGTGGACTTTCTGTGGCGCAGAAGCCCCCCCCTAAACTTGGGGACGTCGTCGTTTTCAGGAAGTATCAAGCGGGGGCCCCGTTTCTGCTGCGAGAAGGCGACGTTGGAAGCAGAGCCAGCGGGTGCTCTCCATCAGCCCCGCATTGTGTGGAGCTTTTCGGGGGGCCCAAAGACTTAGACATGGAGCCACGACTCCAGACCGGCCCAAACCTCTCGGAAACGATCCACTTACCCTCCAAAAAACCTGGCGCCATGCCATGACATGCTGTGCGGCGTTGTGCTCTGCGCAACTGTGCGATACCATGCTTTGCGTTGCAATGCTGTGTGATGCAATGCTTCACTGCGCAATGCCACGCCATGCTGTGGCACGCTACGCTCTGCCGTGCTTTTCTACGCCATGCCATGCCGTGCTCTACCATGCATCGCGTGCCCTCTCGCGATCATTGCCCTGCTCGCCGACTGCGCGAATAAAGAGGAGATCTACGAACTGGAAAGGGATGGGAGGGAGTAGGACGTTAAGTTATGACGCGATCGCACCCAGCTTGTCCCCCTCCCCCTCCCCCCCCCCCCTCCTGCGCTCGTACTCCACGCCAGTTCGTCCTAACCACTGCCGTCGCTACCACCGTCGCTACCCCCGGGCCTTGCTGTGCGCGATGCAGTCCACGCCGAACTGCTTGGGCGGGGCTGATCGGGCTCCAGGGTGCGAAACAAAGACACTCTAAGTTGAGGGATCAGACCTAAAGCTACACTTTCACTAAGAGGGTTCGGGAGATGCGAGGCGAGAGTAAATAAATACAAATAGGCAACCACATACAACATATTGCAGGGGGGAAGGAGACCGAAACGGGTGAGGGCGTCTTCGGGGGGCGGGTGGCTTCTAATTCCAACTACCAGGGCACAGCACTTAGGGCAATTTTAAAAACGTGATTGATCATCAGGCTCATCTTCGCATCCAAACCTACAGCGACGGGACACCTGCTGGAATCGTCGATCCGTGGTCCACGCCCCTGAGAGTCTTTATAATTGCATTCCTCCATGCAGGAGGGGCCCTAAGCGTGGCAGCGTGAACTTCTGCCCACTCGATCCGCGCAAGCTCAGCTTCTTCGAGCTCGGGGAAAAGGCGGGGGAGGCGAGCGCGAAAGGTCGAGGCGAGGTCGGGGGGGATAAAGACGCCCTGAGCGCTGCGCTCGCAGCAGCCTGAACCTTTTTCTTCTCACGCAAAGCAGTTCTAGCATACTGTGCCGCAAGCGCACCGGCGCCGGCATGCAAGGGCAAAGTCTGGAAGCCATGCGCCGCCTCATGCATACTTACTACGATCGGAGGCTCCTCCCAAAAATTGAGAGATCGGCGGCGCTCTAATATATCATGCAAACTGAGATAAACCTCGGCCTCCGAAAGTTTATCATAACTCAGCCGGCATTCAGGGGGCGTGCTTAGTGCCGCTCGAATTCGCGACGCTAAGCTTAGAACCAGAGCCGAGCGGAGATGAGGGCCACCCCAACTCGACATCGAAAAGAACGCCTGGCGCGACAGAGAGCAGCGTGGCATCTTAAATATGGCCGCAAAGAGGGCATGTTCACGAGCAAGCACTTGCTTGGGGAGCGGACAAAACCGAGCGACGTACCCCAAACAGGAAAGAGCCCTAGAGTCGCATTGCGCCGCTGCAATCGACGAGGGCGCCCCACTCTTTGCAATGGCCTTTCGCACGTGAGATCCATGTCTTGACGGGTCCATCCCGCGAGGATGGCTGGGCAGGCGGCCCCATATATAAACCAAGATGCATAAGCTTCGAGACAATTTGAAAGCCCGCCCAGTCGGGCAGGTAGCGCTCAAGCCAGGTTCTGTATTCCCGCTCAAGCTCAGGGGAAAACCGCCCAGAAAGTGGGACTATCTTACATTTGCGCACCTTAAGTTCTAAATTAGCCACCCGCCTCGAAGCCCGAAAGACAGTATGTAGTTGCCGTAACACTTCAAATCTATATATTACACTACCTACATCATCTGCACATAGACGGGATATACCTAGGTTTTGGCCTCAATCAGTTGATATAGATGAACAGCGAACGGGTGGGAGGCGACGGCGTAGAGAGTTCCACTTGCTGGACAGCCTTGGACGATCCCTGACTCGATCATGTACATAAAGAAAAGAGCATCCCCTGCCTGTCCGAAACAGGAGACCTGCGTATATATCATTTCCAAACATTCCAGAAGCGGCCCAGGAAGTTGAAGTTGCCGAAGGACCAGGAAAACCCAGAACTGCGAAATAGAGGGGAACGCTTGTCCATAATCGAACGATGCCAGGATCGGACGACGAAGTTGGGCCTCAGGTTCTAAACTAGTGATCCGAGCCTGCGCGTCGAGTTCGATGATGTTCGCGCCGAAATTCCTGGGCGGAACAAAGCCCCTCTGGGAGCTATGCGCAAACCTCGGGAGGGGCCGCGTCAACGGCTTCACACGAACCGACGTCAGGATTTTCGAGTCCGTGTTTTTGAAGCCAAGCGGTCGTGCATTCGACGCCTCTCGGATCATCTGTAGGTGGTCGTCGGGCTCGTCGCCCTTCGCGATGAACACCCCTTTAACAGTATTGAAACCGAACAATAGCGCCTTGCCTTCTAACGACCATGCTAGAGCCTGATACAGGATGTGGGAGCCTTTGGGGTGAAATCTCCAAGCAGCATGTGGGAGCTGATCAGGGCCTGGGGCACTCTGTGGGACCTTATTCAGGAACCTCTGAATGTCCAGCTCGGTCGGAGGCGGCAGATCTGACAAGTTCACGTCAGGCTTGAAACGGTTCACATAATGGAGAGCTGCAGCGCGATCCACTTCCTTACGAGCAAAAGCTCCTCCCCAGTACTCAGAGAGTCCATTCATCATGCCCCCGGGATCGGTGCGAACATTCGGCGCCGAACTTGGTCCCTGGGCCACGCGGGTGCCTTGCAAAGGCAGTTTCCTGTCAAACGGCGACCACAGTTTACATCTGACCTGCAAGCTCTTAAGTCTTTTCCTCAACTTACGGCGCACCGATTCGGGGGTGTCTTCCTGCTGCAGCTGACGCCTTGCCTCTGCCTGGGCCTGGGCGAACGTGGCCATGTGCGCCTCGTCGGAGGCGGCTTGAAACATATTGGGGTCGCTGAGGCTGACGGTCCGCTCGAGCGGGTCCGTGGCCAAAAACTGCTCCCCGAACGGGTGCGAGAGCCGAATCTTCTCCGCAAGCTGAATATCCTGAGACCAGAGCGCGCGGGCAATCGTACGACAAGCGATGTACCTGGAGAGCGGGTCTGTCGGTCTGCCTCGAAGAATACGATCACGAGCGAAACGAGCAGCTTCGATCATCATTTCCTCGTGAAAAGCGAGAAGAAGAGGAGGAGAGAGATCATCGTCTTCAGCGAGCGGGATAACCTTCTCTAGAAATGGCTGATACTCAGGGCGCCGAAAAATCTCCTGATAGATGCCGCGCTCCAGCTGGCTCTTCGGCTTCCGCGGTCCGAACATGGCGCTGACGCCGGCGTGGTCCGAGACCCTCAGTGCACTCAAGATCTCGGGGTACCCGTGGACTCGAGCACCAGGGCGCATCTGCGTGATGCACCATCCAGGTGCTGACAGAAAAAGCCTATCAATCTTGCTGACAGTTCCCTGCGCTTTGCAGTGGTGAGTGTGTTGGCAAGTCTCAATTTCGACCATTCTCTTCAAAACAACTTTCCACTGTCCCGAGGATCTAAGCTCCGACGAAGTAGGGGGAGCAGGAGGGGGA